CCCCCGCCCAGCACCGTGCCCGAGATCCCCGGGCGGTTCCTGTGTCCTGGGAGAGACAACAGTCAGTCCCAGGAGACTGGCAGGCAGCGCAGGCTCTGGGAGCAGCCAGTGCGGCAGCAAGCAGACACATGGAAGGCGGGCAGGAGACAGAGACATGGACATGTAGAGTGAGATTGTATTCAGGGGGTTATGGAGGAGAAAGGGAGGGGGCAGAGAGAGAAAAGGAGAGGGAGAAAGAGAGGGAGAGAAAGAGAGAGAGAGACAGAGAGACAGAGAGGAGACACGTGTGCACACATCAAGAGAGAGAACAGAAAGAGATTAAAGATGGCGACAAGAGGTCAGAGGTCGCTGGGAGTGGGCATGACTTGTCCCTTAAAGGGACCAGAGACCAAAGGAATAACAGACAGTATCAAATGTGTGAGGCAAAACTGACATGTTTCCCTGCTCCTAATGTAAGCATGATCTATATCCAGTCCTGCAACAAAAACAATACCATGAAATAAACAGAAAAAGAGGAGCGGCTTGTTTGTTTGCTTGCTTGTTTGTTTTTTAGAGACAGGTTCTCTCTGTGTAGCCTTGGTTGTCCTGGAATTTGCTCTGTAAACCAGGCCTCAAACTCAAAAGATCCACCTGCCTTTGCCTCCTGAGTGCTGGGAGTAGGTGCCAGTGCCACTGCCTCCAGGAGTAACACCTTGATATGTTCTAGTTCTGAAAATACAATTGAATACTTCCCCAAAATCTAGGTTATCTTAAAAAACTATTTTTTTTAATGTGTATGGGTGCTTTGCCCATAGGTATAGATGGCTCGCTGTGCATCATGTGTGTGCCTGGTGGCCAGGAAAACCAGAAGGGAGCATCAGGTCTGCTAGAACTGGAGTTATAGATAGTGGTGGGAATCAAATCTGATTTTTCTGGTTTTAGCAAATATGTATAATTCCCTTATAATTTATTTTATATATTTAGATCTTATGTTATATATCTTAACAACTGAGTTATCTCTCCAGTACCAAAAAAATTAATCTTTTAAATTTTTTGGAAACAGGGTTTCTCTGTGTAGCCCTAGCTGTCCTAGAATTTGCTCTGTAGACCAGCTGGCTCAAATTCACAGAGATTTGCCTGTCTCTGCCTCCCAAGTGCTGGAGTGCTGGGATTAAAGTCATGAACAACCACTGCCAGGCTAAAGTGAAGCCCTGTCTTGAAAAAAAATTAAAAAAAGAAGAAAAACCATTCTTTCTACAAATCTTGCTATAATGCTCTCTGAATGTTATTTCACCACGTTTGAAATCATCATCAAATGGAAAGGCTAATAGAATGTAGTCCTAGGAACCTTTTATTATTTTCTTTTAAGCACTTGTTTTTCATTGGTAAGTCCGTCCTGAAATCTGACTCCCTTCCTGTCTCTCATTCTCCCATCGTTGTGCTTATTATGAGAGAAGCCCTGACAGTTGTGCTTATTATGAGAGAAGCCCTGACAAAGCAACTGTTAGGGAAACAAGATGGGAGCGAATTAGGAAGGAGACACATACATGGAAGAAGGACTTTACTTCCAAAATTGCATCTGAATTTTAAATCTTGAAATGCATTACTCTTGTTATAGTTTAGAAGCTGAATGTGTCCCAAAGACCTCTGTGTTAAAGGCCCCACAAGTGGTACTACTGGTAAATTTGGAGCCGTTAGGAAATGAAGTCAAATGGAGGCTCCTTAGGTACAAAACAGAGGGTCTAACCCATCACAGTGTAATGCAGAACTCTAAAATAACTCTAAAGTCATTTCTGACAACTCTGAGGCCTCTCAGCAGTAGTGCCCCCCTCCCCTGAGAACCAGGAATCTAACAATTAGTCTTTGTGAATGTTCTCCAGAAACTGGGAAAGATAACCTTTAAGATGTTGACTCAGTTCCTGATGTACGTGCCAGGTGGAAGGCCTCCTGGAGACTTAATTTGACTCAGTCCCTGGGAAAGGGGTCAAAGTGACCCTCAGATGTTTCCTCTTACCTGGCAACCGCTCTCCAGACAATTATTGGTAATAGCCCTTTGAATAAGCCAATCGTAATAGTTAAAGAACAACCCCTAGACTCCCCCCTTGTTTCTGTGGCTTTTTCCTTTAAAAGAAGCCTGTACCAGCTATTTGGGAGGCTTTCTGGCCTCCCGAATGCTGAAAGACCCTGTCATGACAGAATTAATAAAATCCTCATGCTTTTACATTAGCTGTGGTATGAGAGATGGTTTCTTGGGGAGACTCCTCCTTGGTGATTGGACTCTAGGGTCCAACACCAGAGCTCAACCTCCTAATGTGAACCAAAACCTTTTCTCTATATAAATTATCTCTGCGTTTCATTATAGTAACAACTGTGTAATATACTTATCTACTCAAAAAGAAATAAATGCAAAAGAAAGAGTAAATTGGTTATAAATTATTCTGTTTGCAGAATTAGATATTGATTTTCACATGTAACCAGTTTCGACAAATACCATATGTGTGTGTGTGTGTATACATTTCAGATTCACAAAGGGCTTATTATCTGTTAATGCAAAGTGTTCCATGAAAATTCTCTCTCACCTCAGGGTGGTTGAGTTCTCCTTCCTCCTCCTCATAGGGACCACCCACAATGAATGCATCAGGAATGTTATTAGCTCCTGGAGCGAGAATGTTAGCAATAGGCCATTTTTTAGGCCGGGGAACAGGTTCTCTTTCTCCTCCAAGCTTCAGATTTCCGTTCTTGAATACCATAGGGTAGTCTTTCTAAAACAGCAATGCCAGATGTGAGGATACTTGCAAAGAGCTTTGGAAGTTAGTCAGTCTGCTAACGCCGGGGATGGTGGTGGTGTTCGTTTAATCCCAGCACTCGGAGGCAGAGGTAGGCAGATCTCTGTGAGTTCTAAGCCAGCCTGGTCTAGAGAGTGAGTTTCAGGACAGGCAAAGATACACAGAGAAACCTGTCTCAAAACCAAAAAAAGAAAAAACAAGTTTGCTTACTACTTTTTCCAGTAGAATTCTGGGTAATCCCAATGATTACCTAGTAGGGCCTGTGCCCTTCACCCTATCTGTGCCAATGTATAACTCTGTAAATTATAGAAAACAAGATAAAATGTAAACTACTCTTTAAAAAAAGTGTTTTACTCGTTAACTTATATGTGTGTGCATGCATGTGCACAAATTTGGGAGCTGGTGTTTTATTTCCCTATGTAGGTCCAAGAGATTAAACTCAAGTCATTGGGCTCAGCAATATACCTTTACTCTTTAAGACATCTCACCAGACCACCCCCCAAAAATTAGTAGAAACCTGAAGTTGGAGCTGAGCAATGCATAGATGTGCTGCACACGGTCATGGGGTTGTTCCTAGACAGGAAAGCAAACATCCGGACTCACCTTGAATTATTTAAGTTTCAGAAATGAAAGTCAAGTGTCCCTGGGACCCACCTAAATCCCCAGCAATGAGTGTTATGATAATTTACATGCACAAAGCCTTGCCAAAAGCACAGGTGAGGTCATTAACTTACTGCACCTTGGGCCTTTCCAGCAGGAACCTTATGTGTTCCTGTATCTAGAGATCTGAACTAAACAATACCCGTAATTAAGAGGAAGCAGTGCATAATGAGATAATTACACACAACCCATAAAATAATCCAAGTGTAAGCACACCAAGAACTGGCAACTTTTAAATGCTGCACATTCTTTGGACCATAACTATATAGTGATTAATATAAATTGCATGCAACGTATAGATTGTGTAACTGCATACGGTTGAAAATATACATGTAAAACAAAAAAAAAATCAATGTTAGCTTTTAAGCCTAAAATAAATCTTAGCCATTGGTAGAGTGGGTCTGAGTACAGTCTTGGTGGGGAGGAACATGGCTGTGAGTATAGTAGGCTGGCTTGAACCCATGCAGACATCTGGGACCAGGGCTTTACCTCTCCAACTGATGGAACTTGCAGCCCAACCATGTAGTTCTGCTGAGGCCCTACGGGCATGAACGACTCAGGAACAGAGTAGGCGGCCTCCAGTGTGACCTTCAGGAGATTGCTCGCTGACACCTGAGCTGCCGTCAGTAGCGGCTCTGTCACAAATACCTTCACATCAAGACTGCACTGCTATAAAACAAAATTATGCAGCACTCAGGAAAATTGCCCTAGGTCTTCATAGTCTTTACTAACATTATTTGCTACTATTGTTTAAAATGAAGTTAAACTTAATTATTTTCAAACAGAGGACTTAAAATTTATTTTTCCACAGGTACCAGGAGTTGAAGAAAGAGTCAAAATGAGAACTGGAAAGTTTTGCTTAACTGGAGTCCTTTTCATTCTACAACAGTGAGGTAAAAAACAAACACGCAGGCCGGGCAGAGGTGGTGCACACCTTTAATCCCAGCACTCAGGAGGCAGAGGCAGGTCGATCTCTGTGAGTTTGAGACCAGCCTGGTCTACAAGAGCTAGTTCCAGGATAGCCAGAGCTGGTACACAGAGAAACTCCGTCTTGGAGGGTGGGGGAGGGAGGGAAAAACCCAACAAAACAAACACACGTGAAACAGGAGCTGGATGGCTCCACATAGAACATAACCAGTAGGCACTCATGACGTGGGATCAGTGCTTTTGTTTTGCTAGCCTGTATTTTATGATTATGTGGGATGTGTCGCATGTATGATGTGCGTATGTGCTTGGGAACATATGTGCCATGTTGAGCATGTGGAGGCTAAAGGACGACCACGGATACTGGTCTTCACTTTCCGCTGGGACTACAGGCCCAGGTCTGGCTTTAAGGGATTATGGGAATTCAAACCCAGGTATTCACATTTGTATGGTAAGTGCTTTAAACCTAAGCTGTCATTATCACCGTCACCGTTGCTGTTATTTTATACAGGGTCTTGCCGAGTGGCCCTGGCTGGCCAGAAACTTCACCTGTCTCTGCCTCCCAGGTGCACATTAAGGGTGTGCATCACCACATCCATCCCCTTATGGTTATTCTTATCATTTAAATGTAGTCATTTATTATAAGATATTTTCAGTTGGGCAGTGGTGGTGCACGCCTTTAATCTCAGCACTCTGGAGGCAGAAACAGGCAAATCTCTGTGAGTTTGAGGCCAGCCTGCTCTACAGAGTGGGTTCCAGGGAAGTCCAGGCTATGCAGAGAAACTTTGTCTTGAAAACAAAAAAGATATTTTCAAGTATTTGTGAGTGTGTATGTGTGTCTGTGTTTTTACACCTAACATTTTCACACACAATACAATAAAAAGGTTTACATGTACATTTACAATTTTAAAATTATATTTTATTTATTTATGTGAATGGATGTGGCAGAGAACAACTTGTGGAAACTGGTTCTCTCCCACTACTGTGTGGTTCCTAGGACTGAACTCAGCTCATCAATGTGACAGCCAAGTATGCTCCCCCATGAAATCATCTTACTGGCCCCTTCCATGTGTATTGACTGCTAATCATATGCTAATAAAAAAGACAAATCCCAGCCTAGCAGGGGTGGCACACACCTTGACGGAGACAGATCTCTATGAATTTGAAGCCAGCCTGGTCAATAGAGCTGGTATTAGCTGGTATTGTTGAATTAGAAATTTTCAGCCAGAGGCAGGCTGCCATGCCTAAGTACATACTGCCATATATAATTTAACCCATTGGTACACAGCTCAAGAAGCGTTTCCATATTAAGCCTTACCTAAGTTACTTGCTCATCTATGCAAAGTAACCAATATCTGATCTTTGCCGCATCGATTCATCACAAAGCATTATAATCCACAAAGTGGAACTCAGTCTTTTTCATACCATTTACCAGAAACTAGCACTATCAATATTGTGAAAGGAAGTGCCTAATGCATTGTATCACCTGAACTCGACCTTAAGAGCTGGATTAAGAGGCATCTGAAAACACTAGGACTTAAAACTTGGATTACCTTAGAGCCTGGCAGAGGAGTTTCTAAGGGTGACCCCTGCACAGGGTGTAACGGGACCGTCGTTTCAAATGAGTCCTCTCCTATAAGGTCAAGGTGAGTCAAAGAAGAAAGGGTCAAGTCAGAGTTAATGCAGGCACAGACGCGTGCCATCATTTCCCACAAACCCTTTTAAACCCATGGAGGCTGAGTTTCACACATTGTTAGAAATAGGTTTTATGCATTTTGTTATTTTTCACTTTTGGATAAATTACACATCTGACCTTCCAGTAAAGGAAGAAGGTCCACCACAGCTTGGCCCAGAGTTAAGGTCTTCTCATCCTTCTGTTTCTTTTCCTTTGGTAAAACCTCAGTCACGGTTACTAGAAGAGTCAAAGAAAATGAGAACGCTTCTAACAACTCAGATGACAAAGCCACGGCAAGCAAAGTCCAAGTTAAAAAAAATGAGTTCTGACATGGGGGTCCATAGCTCAATGGCAAGAATGCTTGTGTGATGCTTCAGTTAAAATCTCAGTATAGATAGCAACCACAGCAACATCAATAATTATCCTAAAACCCAAGGAGGCACACCAGTGAGAAGTCCCTGGCTCAGTGACGTCCACACTTTCTGTCTGTAAGTTATAAGAAAGATATTAATCACATGACACATGAATGTAAAGGACATTGCTCTCTGAGAACCACTGTTTCCTATTGTATTTATCATAAAAAAATCACTGACATATGTGGTTGCACACATTGTAATCAAAGTACTTGAGGTGGAAGCAAGAATTGCAAGTTCAAGGTCAGCCTGGATTATGCGGTGAAACTTGACCTTATTTCTTTAGAAATTAATGCTTTAGATAGGATCTCATGTATCTCAGGCTGTCCTCAAACTCACGCTGTAGCCGAAGATAATCTTCAACTTCTCATCCTCCTTCCTCTACTTCCTAATACTGGGATTAAAGTGTGTACTACCGTTTCAGTTGGGCTTTCTATTGCTGTTGTGAAACACAGCCCACATTGGGCAGCTCACAACCACAGGTAACTCCATTGAGACTCCCCTCACACATAGCATGTACACACATACAAATGAAACAATTTTTTTGTAAATCTGAACCCACTGGTGTTTCTATAGTGCTAACCACTTAAGTATGAACTCTGGCATAGAGAAGATAAAAGGTAACCTATGGAATTTACCCTTCATCTCCCAGGGGACTTAAATTCCTTCTCACCACCTTTCAGCCTCCTCTCTTTGCTTTTACACAATGTCTAGTTGCGCTTTCTGAGAAACAGGAATATGTATCTACTTCATCATCTCAGAAGTTTCTATCTTTTTTGATTTCTAGTGAACACACTATGATTATAAATGTTTTTCTACTGTAAGTACATCTTACAAGTCTTGTTTTGTTTTAGTGGTGCAGAACTCTACTACTGAGCTAGATACTCCCTGCTCTCCCCCACTGCCACCCTGTGTTTATTATTTGATATTTTACTGTTTGGTAATTATAAATACATTCCATTTTTTTTTTACTGATTTCTCTGTTCCATGAAATCAGTTTTGGTTTGTTTTAAATTTCCAAATGAAATTTCTGTCTTTTTGATACTGAGCAGTAATTCTCATAACTGTAATATTTTGTCTAGGAGACTATCTGAGCTATGCATGGTGTTGAAAGACCTGGATAAATCTAGACCCCTCTAGTAGAAAAAAAAAGAGCCAAAAATCTAAGCAGGGAGAGAAGGATCAAAAATCTAGATTAACTGATTCAGTGACTCTGCTTCAGGAACTAGCTGAAGATAAAGTTAGATTATAATCTTGAGAAACAGGGAGTTACTCCCTTGTGATTATCACTGGTATTTTTGGAATTTTTCAAATGATCACTGTATTTGTGGAATTTTCCAATGGCACCCTCCCTAACCCTTTCGGACGGTTTCTTCCCTTAAATACTCCTCCTCACAGCTACTTGGGGTCGAACTCTGTACCCCTGCATGGGAAATGAGTTTCAGCACAAGTGCACAGGTTCCTGTTCTGTCAATAAACCTTGTGTGATTGCAGCAAGAATGGTCTCTTGTGAGTTCCTGAGGGATCGTGTTATACTGAGACTTGAGTGAGAGTCTCCCTGTTCCGGAGGTCTTTCATTTGGGGGCTCGTCCGGGATTGGTGATCACTCTCATCCCCAAAGACCCACTTGGAGGTGAGACATTGTCTGTGTGTCATGTCTTTGTGTTTCCGTGCCAGCTGAATTCAGGTTCTGTACAGGTTCTGTATTTTCGGTTTCGGTTTTGCAGTTGCTCACATCTCAGGAGGAGACAGAGGGAGTGATCAGCATTCATGCTAGATCACCGACTGCCACCCCGGGAGAGGTCCCAAGAGGTGAGAAGGGACCCAGGGATGCCTGGGAGATTCCCATCTGGGTGCTGGTGAGGATACGGAAGTTCTCCTGGATTGGAGGAACTATATGCCCTCTCGGCTGTCTGTATTTCTGGAATGGTTTTGTCTGTCTTGGTGGAGATGGACATTTATTTGTTTGTGTGTCTTGTGTGTCTTTGGTCTTTTGTTTTGTCTTACTTGTGACTTTGACGATTGGGACAGACTGTGACATTGACTCTGGATCAGTGGTTTTGTCATTCTATGTTTTGTTAGCCTTTGTCTGTGTATCTTGGGTCTCTGTTTTGTCTTATGTGCAGGTAGTGTGTTCAGTTCTCTGGTGAGATACACAGGTGATGTTTCTCAGTTCTGTGGTATGACACACAAGCGGCGTGGTCAGTTCTCTGCAGAGACATGCATGGATAGCGGTCTCATTTTGATAGTGGGGTAGGTCACACTTGAGAAGCAGCTTGAAGCTGTGTCTTTGGTTTGTTTGGTGCCATTGTCCTGTATGTCTGTGTAATGTGTGTTGTGCTTTTCTTCTGACTTACACTAATGCTGACATACTCAAATCATGTGCTGCATACCACCCTGCCCCCCCTCCATGTTGATGGATGAGTTCTCTCCACCTCCCCTGAGAGCTGCACACCTCAAACCTCTGGTCAAAGCTGACCAAGGCTTGACTCCGCGGGTGAAGAACTCTTTCAGATCCTATGGGTTATAAGTATTAAAAGTATCTGCCATCATTTATAGGGGCTGGTTACAAATTATTGTTGGTTAATGGTTTAAAAAACCCATTGCTGGTCTCAAATGTTTCACACTGGTATAGGACTTTATGTGCTGTTGTTTACAAATTATTGTTGGTTAATGTTAAAAAAAAAACGTATTGTTGGTCTCAAATGTTTCACACTGGTACAGGATTGTATGTGATGTTCTGGTTTAAAATGTAGCCATACATCCCCACTGAGAAAAACCACAAAAAAAAAAAAACTTTGGTAAGAAGAGGCCTTTCAGTGGTACACATTTGCATCCTTTAGGCTGCATATGTCAACAGACATCACTCTGAATGCGCCAGGCCTCAGAAGATCTTGGAACCTAAGCAGAGATCACGCCTGGTTAGTCCTTGGATGGGAGAACTCAGGGCTAATCTGGTTGTGTAACAAGTTCAAGGTTAATTTAGACTTCATAGCAAAACTCTGACTCAAAAAAACACAAGGAAAACTTCGTCTGTACACTATTGATTCTTCTGTATTTGCTGTGGCCTAGAAAGTGACTAATTTTGTTTCATAAAACTCCTGTGTGTGGTGTACAAATGCCATCTCTACTAATCACCAATACACACTCTTTTTTTCTTTCTAAAGAGGATGGTGAGTAGATTTCATTTTCCTGGGTCTTGAGTTTTCAGACCATACTTGTACTGGGGACATGATTTCAGTCCCACCTCCTCATTTATGGCAGACCAAGGCTTTGTTCTTGTGAAAAACATTAAAATCCACTTCTAGGTTTAGGAGTACTGCTCTCTCCATATGTTCACTGTGGGGGCCAGCCATGATAAGCTAAGTCTGGGCAGGTCACTCAAAGGTAGTTCTTTACTTCCAACCATTATCACTTGGGACTCTGGCCATCGATGAATTTAAATGTAGTCTGGATTCTCAATAGTTTACCCTGAGACAATGCCTGGCTGCAAGAGGAACCACAGGCTGAGATTGCCCGACCCTCACCCAAGAGCAGACCATTCTAAGGAAATGCCTGGCATTTCAAGAACTGTAGATAGAGACACATGCCAGCACACCTCAACAGGACACCATTAGACAAATGTCAGCCAATTAGGGGCCCTAAACCTCAGAGACCCCCTCACCCCAACATTTACTACTATAAAAACCCAACTCTAACTGAGCTTGGAGCTCTCTGGTTATTCCAATACATTGGATATGCAGAGAGACCAAGTTTGTAAACTTGGTTAAAATAAAGGCTCTTTGCTTTTACATACAGGACTTGGCTTCCTTGTTGGCTTGGGCAGAGATCTCATGGATTTGGGCATAATATTCATCAATGTTCACTACTCAAAACCTCCAAGTGCAATTCTTGCCTTGCTCCTGGGAACTAAGGAACTGCTTCTATCTCATTGCTTTGTCTTCAGTTCTGCTTTCTTCATTCATTTTGTCTGGGAAGAAAGCAATCAAGGTACTCCTCTTATGGATTTCAGAGAAACACAGAACAAAGTGAAAAAAAGAGGGAAGAAGTAGAGAGAGGAAGGCTAGTAAGTATTCCTCCACAATTGACTGGTTCACAGAGAAGCCACAGTTGATGCTTGAATTGGCTAAGCTGGAAAATTTGTCCCTTAAGAGGCACCTGAGACTTTTACCCCAAAGTGCAGCTTTTCAACATCTCCTCTATAGTGGTATATTATTCGTGTTTTAATAAATAAAGCTCGCCTGAAGATCAGAGGGCAAAGCAGCCACGCTAGTCAGCCATATTGGCCAGGAAGTATAGTAGCACACGCCTTTAATCCTAGGACCCGGGAAACAGCGAGAGATGGATCTCTGTGAATTCAAGGCTACTATGGGGTACCCAAGATTGGTTCAGAAACAGATCCAAGTGGTGGTAATTCACATCTTTAATCCCAGTATTTGGGAGTCACACATTTTTAATCCCAGCACTAAGAAGGTGGAGATAGGAGTGATATGGCTGGACTGAGCAGAGAGAGGAATATAAAGGGGAAGAGACAGGAACTCAGTGGAGAAAGGAGTCTGAGGATTCATGAAGACAGTATCTTGCCTTTTCAGTCTAAAGATTTTGTAGAGGTAAGCAATCTCTCTAGTGGATGGCTGCTTTGCTTTTCCGATCTGTAGTATGAACCCCTATATCTCTGAGTTATTATGTTTATCATTTGTGCTACACTCCTCTGTCAATTGTGAGCTTGGTGGTCTATTGTGGGACCCCAAGAATTCTTATGGAAAAAAGATAGAGATAAACTAGGATCTAGCACAGTAGTTCTTTCTTCTTGTTCTTCTTGTTCTCGTTCTCGTTCTCCTCCTCCTCCTCCTCCTCCTCCTCCTCCTTCTCCTTTTGTTGTTATTTGAGACAGGGTTTCTCTGTGTAATAGTCCTAGCTGTCCTGGAACTAGCTCTTGTAAACCAGGCTGGCCTTGAACTCACAGAGATCCACCTGTCTCTGCCTCCCGAGGGCTGGAATTAAAAGTGTGCACCAACATCACCTGGCAGCACAGTGGTTCTTAACCTTACTAGCACTGCGACTCTTTAATACAGTCCCTCATGTGGTGACTCCCAACCATAAAATTATTTTGTTGCTACTTCATAACTGCAATTTTGCTACTGTTATGAATCAATGTAAATATCTATGTTTTCTCATGGTTTTAGGTGACCCCTGTGAAAGGGCTGTTTGACTCCCCCAAATGACTCATGACTCATAGGTTGAGAACCACTGGTCAAGAATATTTTCTGCATTTCTAAGTCTTATATCTTGAGATCTGAGGGTTTGGTAAGCACCCATGAACTTTATCATTTAAAAAACTGAAAAATTACAAAATGAAAAATAAAGACTGATGTTGACTGAGGTTTTCTGTCCTACCTGGTTCTGCAGCCATTAAGTCCTGAAGGAATCACACAGAGGTCTACATTAGTTATAAACTGATTGGTCCGTTAGCTCAGGCTTCTTATTAACTCTTATAACTTATATTAGTCATTATTCTTGTCTGTGTTAGCCATGTGGCTTGGTACCTTTTTCAGTGAGGCAGTCACATCTTGCTTCTTCTGTGATGGGGTCACAACTGCAGACCAAGCTTTCCTCTTTCCAGAATTTTCCTGTTCTCATTGACCCGCCTCTACTTCCTGTCTGGTTGTCCCGCCTATACTTGCTGTCTGGCTATGGGCCAGTCAGCACTTATTTAAAATATAATTGACAGAATACAGACCACTGTGCCATGGACTGATGTGTGTGCTTGTTTTCACCATGACCAAATTTGCAATCAACAAGAAGGCAAGCTTTCATAATTAATAAGAAGTCTCCATGTGGTTATTTGGGAGGTGTCTGGCAGGACAGAGAAAGACTCGCTACATACCAGGCTGGAAGTACTCAGGACTGAGTCTTTTGGACTATTGGATGTTTGGTCTTTCCAGTGTGAGGCAGTCATTGGTAGACTATTCCAACCATATCATGGAACTCAATCTAATAAATAATTCCCTCTTAACATACATTCATTTAGTCTGTTCTGTTCCTTTAATAGTGGTTCACAACCTTCCTAATGCTGAGAACCTTTAATACAGTTCTTTACGTCATGGTAACCCCAACCATAAAATTCTTTTGTTGCTACTTCATAACTGTAATTTTGCTACTGTTGTGAATCATAATGTAAATATCTGATATGCAACCCATTTGTTTAGACCTACAGGCTGAGAAGCACTGCTCTAGAGATTTCTGACTAATACAAAGACTACAGATGTCAATGAAGTGCCTGCAGTGCAAGCATTAGAACCTGACTTTAGAGCCTCAGTACTCACATAAAATGTGGGAGCCTATAGCAAGCATATGCAACCCCAGGTGCTGTGGAGGTGAATAAGAATGGTCCCCATAGGCTTATATATTTGAATGCTTAAGGTGGCACTAGAAGGTATGGCCTTGTTGGAGTAGGTGTGGCCTTCTTGGAGGAAGTGTGTCACCAAGGAGTTTCAAATGCTCAAGCCAAGTTCAGTGTCTCACTTCATGCTGCCTGTTGATCTGAATGTAGAACTCTGAGCTACCTCTCCAGTACTGTGTTTGCCTGCATGCTTCTTGCTTCCCATCATGAGATAACAGAATAACCTCTAAATTTAAGCAAGCCCCAGTTAAATACTTTCTTTTATAAGAGTTGCCATCTCTTCACAGCAGTAGGAGAGTGACTAAGACACCAGGTTAGGGTGGTGGTGGGGCAGGCAAATCTTGAGATAGGTAGATTCCTGGAGCTAATGGGCTAACCAGGGAGAGACCCTACTTCAAAACAAACAAAAAAGGTGAACAATAATACGGGAAGATTCCTGATATTGATCTGCACATATGCACATGTACATGTACACACAACAAAATACATGAGCACATAACTCACCTGAACACACACACATGTACATACATATACACACACATACACACACACTACAGATCAAAACAAAGTAAAAGAACTAGCACAGAAGTGTAACAAATTACATCAGAGATAAAAGAGTGTTTACATGGAAACCATAAGATGTAGATACAGAAAACATTCACCTATCCATCTAATTCACTTAACAAAGACTCTTTAAGCATCTGTTATGCTACAGATATTTCTAGGAATTGGAGATTCTGAAATAAATTGAATCCAGACTTGATTTTAAGAAGAGCATCTTTTAGCAGCAGAAGTGAAAAATGGCCACTTAGGATGGTGCATATACAAAAGCACCGATAACAAAGGATACCAGTGAAGCACAAATGTCAGATAAACAAAGGACAATTTTAAAATATGTATCAAGTTCTGTGGGTTTTTAAAAAATCATTTTCCCTAAAACCTGACAACCATAATTATTGGAATACAAATGAAAGTTCTAGATGAAAAACTGATAAAATTAGCATGTCATGGTTTCAGATGCAGGAAGCAGACAAAGTAAAGTCCACTGCATTATCCTCCACACAGTGTGAGGAACATGCAGCCCTCCGTGCAGTGTGAGGAACATGCAG